CCTGGTTCCCCTCGGCGACCTATGCCCTTTTTCCCGGGCTCCCGCCGCCGCTGCCTGGCCCCCGCTCTCTGCTCCCCCTCTGTCTCTACTCGCTGCAGATTCTGGGAGCCGGTTCGGTCCCCACCCAGTGGTGCCCCGCCCCCACACTTCCCTGCCACCCATACTTTTACTCTGGGGTTCCGGACCCCCTTTCTCCAAGGTGTTTGGGGGTCACCCCTGGTCGCCCTAAACTTAGCCCACACTCATCACCTGCAGAATCTTTATTGTGGTCCCTCACCTCCTCTTGGCCCTCTTTCCACCCTTGCCCTTACTATCCTTCCTCCTCCACCTCTTTCTGGGCTTCTCGAATTCTGACTTTGCAGCTATCTTGACAGCCTCCCTCTCATCCCTCTTTCTGTTCTTCGCCCACCCCTGATTTGCATCCCTTCCCTGGTCGGAATTTCAGCCACCTCACCCCACACCTCCTACTGTCACCCTCAATCCCACGTTTAGTTTTTCCTATCCCTTCTCTCATGTTTCAAGTGCAGCAGTCCAGAACCAGGCATTTCCGGTCTCAGGGTCCCTGAATATTACATTACCAACTCTGCAGCAGTATGGGGCCGGGAGGATAGACAAGTGCACTGGAGGAGGAGGGGAGGCATTTCTTCTCTTCCGAAACTCCAGCACGGGCTGGGAAGAGAGTGTTTATATGTACACACACAAGACACATGCATGCTGCCTGTGGCCAGGCAGAAGGTTTGAAAAAGCAGTGGGTATTTATGTTAGCTGAGGGGTGGGAGCAGTGGAGATTTCTCAAGGGAGGGGTTAATTCAGGAAGGTTGAAAGGAAACAATTGCAGCAGGAGTTTCTTCAAAATACCATTTCTTGTTCCTCATGGAGCACTTACATACTCTGCTTTAGGAGCTTTCAGCAGCATTTATATGTTTTTCTTCCTTTGGCTTAAGGGGCAACTTAGTGGTTTCAAGGTGAACACTCCAGACTACCACCCAGGTGGTGTTTTGATCCTGTGCCCTTTCAGCTCTCAACAGGCCAAGATGTGGGGACAGCAGGATTCCCCATCTCTAGGTTCACTTCTCTGGAGGCCCCTGTTCAAATTGTCTTTTGGCTTTTGAGTTAGCCGGGGAACATGGCCAGTAGCGGGGGGGAAAAGGCGGTCAGCCACACAGGTGCCCCGGATATGACTGGAGGGGAGAGGGGAATTGAAGAGAGCAGAGTCATGTTGTTAATTGGGTTTCTCTAGGTGACACAGTTTTTTCTTGCCATTCAGGTCATAATTTGTTTGGTGTAAAGTTGGGCTATGAGACTTGACTTGCTGGAGATAAGGTGATAAATTGCTGGGGAGGGAAGTTGAGTGTTGGATTTTGTGTGTGTGTGCACTTGCATGTGTATGTGGGGAGAGAGAGGGTCTGAAGGCTATAGGAGGGACATTCTTTAAGGGTAACTTAGCTGGGATTTAACCTGGGATGCTCAAGCCAATTGGGATATAAGATGGAAATCCAGACTCTGAGTAAAAGTCTCTTAATGTGCTCCACTCTTGGATGAAACCCCACTTTCCCTTCCTACCTTGATTGTTGATTAACTCTGTCTGCAGGTTCCTGTGACTGTGGTAACTAAAATACAGTAAAAAATGGGTGAGTCCAAACCATGACCTTTGGTTTGAACTTTGCAGGACTCTGCTTGGGATTCTCTTTTCTTTTAGTTTCTTCTGGTAGTTTGGCCTAGACCCTCAACCTGGAATTTCCAGTAATTCTGCAAATACCCTCTGACCTTGGATGTGCTATTTTCCTTCTGGATTTCTCTGCTTGAAGCAAAGTCAGCCTCCTTCCTCAGTCACCTCCTGCCTTTTTCTCTTCTCCCTCCCCTCAGGAGAGCAGGGTAACCTGCTCCCAGTGCTTCTGTCTGTCCTGGCTTATTCTTAAGGAAGCATTCTGCTTCCCCCCTTTCTACCCCTGTACTGCAAGACTTGAGGGAGTGCTGTACTTTCTTTGAAACAGGACTGGAGAGAGCCTGCTTTCTTCTTACTGCTGACCTTTTCTCAGTGCCTGTCCCCTCCACTCCACCTCTGAGAGTCTGTGGCACTGTCAGCTAATCAGTCTTGTTGTTTTTTTCCTGTCTGTTTTCCAGTGAGAAATGGTGTTCCCCGTACTACACCATCTTGTGTTGAGAACTGGAGGAGGGGGATGGGAGGGGAACATATTCGGCATTTATTAGCTGGCTTTAAAGAGCTCAAGGTGTCTTTCTCCTCTTGTTTCAAAAGTCTTGATTTTCAGCTGGTAATGAGAGTAATAGTCTGAAATTAGGGAAGATTGAATTATTTTAGCCATTTGTGAGAAGGTGGAGTAGACCTGCCATTTTGTGACCACAGCCACTCCTGACCTCTTTGAGGTTCCTTTTCTCCGCCAGCATGGTAGCACCATGTGGTAAGAAGAAGCATGGGGTTTGGAGTTGTATTCCTGAGTTTAAGTCCTGGCTTCCTCACTGCAGATTCTGCCAAGAGTTTTACTTCTCTAAGGTCCATTTTCTCCTATGTAATGGGCATGGTAATAGTACTGGACTCAGAATTGCTGAGGAATAAATGAAACACCGTACATTAAGTACTTAGGTTTCCGGCATGTAGTGATCATATATGTGGTAGCTTTTATTGTAGTTATTTTTATCAAATGGCAATCAGAGAAGCCTTCCAGGACAACTGTATCTAAAATAGCATTCCCTCCCCTGCTTTATTTTTATATAAAATTTTATATAGCATTCCCTTAGTCTGCTTTATCCTTCTTCATAGTATTTGTCACCAACTGACATATATTTCTGTCAACCCCAACTAAAATGTAAGTTCAGTGAAAGCTAGGATTTTGACTGTTGTGCTCATTTTTGTATCCTCAGTGCCTATAACAGTGTGTGGCACATACTTGGGGCTTATTTATTGAATAAGTTCATGTTATAACAAGTGAACGCTCTTAGCACAGTGTATATCTCTACTAAGTAGTATATCTTTTATATAAACAATTTTGAAATATTTTTATGGGTTTTTTCAAATCAGACCTTGTTGGTGTTAAACAAAGTTCTGGAAGCCCTCATCTGAGTGATGCTCTTAAAGTTAGGATCATCTAGGAGAAAATTTGTACCTCTTGTGTCAAGCCTTCTCTATGTCCAAGCTTGGTTATATTCCAGAAGAATCTTCCGACTTGGAACTCTTGGCTTCTCACAAAGGATAAGTATCAGCAGAAGTGGATGGGACAAGGAGGGGGCAGCGCAGCCTGACCTCTTTCCTTCTGCATTTCTCCTTTTGGTTGACCCACTTCATAAATCAAACAGCTTCTCTTTACTGTCCAACCAGCTAGAAGTTTTACACTGCAGTGTCCTTGAAACTATGGAGCTGTGCTTAGTGCTGCTGTATTGAAATAATATCATGGAGCACATTCAAGAAGGACTTGTTGCTAGGTAGTAGCTGCTGACAGAGATGTTCTTTTTCAAATGATTTTGTGTTGTTTTATCTGTTCTTTGGAGAAGTGTCTTCGCTTTCGTCTTCTTTTCATGTCGCTGTGGAGCCAGCACCACTTGGAAAGCTGGCAGTTCTGGGCATGTATTTCCAGGCTGCTGCACTACGTGGGACTGCTACTGTGTTCTGATGTGTTAGCTGTCCAAATGTTGACGACAGATGCCTTAGGCAGGGCACTGGGAAGACTGACCTCTTGCAGTAGAAGTGAGGGCATTCAATAGTGACTTTTTTCCCCTAGAGAACCACAAACAGGAGATAGGGCCATTTGATGAGCTGTGGCATTTAGAGTGAAGTGTAATGCTGCTTTGGCAAAATGATGGAAAGATTACAGAAAACTTTGTTGGAACTAAGCAGCCATTCTCCAAACAAGGGGAGAGACACCATTACCCTTTATGCTATAGGATAGGATAGATTGCCATAGCCCTTAGTGATATACATGGAGGGCAAGTTATTTGGAAAAGTGAGGTTTTGATAGTTAAAATAACTTTAAGACTGTCAGCAAGAAAATCAGTTGGTCTGCCCTCTCACTCATGCCCCAAGAGCTCAGTTAAAATTAAACTGTATAGAATTGACTGGGAAGGATGGCTCACACTTATAATCCTTGCATTCTGAGAGGCTGAAGTGGGAGTATCACTTGAGGCCGGGAGTTTGAGACCAGCCTGGGCAACATAGCGAGACCCTGTCCCTATAATACATTATGAAATAAAAATTAAAAAATTTAAAACTATGCTGTATAGAGTCTTGATTTCAAAGCTGACCTCTATTCCTTTCAGCATTGAACTGTGTGCCTAAGACAGGGTAAAGCATCCTCATTTGCCATTTAGGGGACAAGATGGCAGGAAGTATGCAACTGCTTTTGATAAGTAAGTATATGGCAAGTATATCACTAAGGGTTCTGGTGTAGGACTATAAATAAGAAATGTAGTAACCTTTTTACTCAGAAACATAAAACAATTCTGGACTAGAGAACATATTCAGAAGCCATCTGAGAGTCTGCTTGTCCAGTCTTTCTGTCTCCAGACAAAACTGAATCAGGGAAAGTTATCAGTAATGTTCTTTCCTGCACCAGTCAGTCACTAAGCATTGTCAGTTTAGTATATTGAGAATCAGGTTCTAGATACTGTGGGAAGGATGTAATATTGTGCTCAGTACTGTACTAAGCTGTTTAACCAGAGCTCTGGGAACATCCACCTAAGCAATGCCTTTACAAGCTCAGGCTCTTTTTTTCTTAACTTTTAGTGCTTTCCTTGATATCTTAATACCCTCAAGGCTGGGACATCTTTGTCAAATGTGATTTCTGTGAATTACATTCATTTGGCCAGGCACAGTGGCTCACGCC